AAAAAAGATGGCGGCGCCCAGCTGACGCCGGAACCGGGCCGCGGCGCCCAGCTGACGCCGGAACCGGGCCGCGGCGTCGAAAAGGTTGGGGATCCCTGGTCTAAGGTATCTGTCTCTCACCCTCTTAGACAGGCAACAATCAAATAGGATGTGAGCCAGGTGGCCTCCCTCTGCTGCTCCGCATTTTTACTTGTATAGAAATAGCAAGTACTATCTCCATTTCTATAACAACAACATATTTTATCATCAAAATCAAAAACCAAAGCTTCATTTTGATCTCTTTCGAGCGGAATACCCAGAAATAAAGCTAGTTACGTTCTTTTCTCTAATGAGTGTCGTTAACTTTGCAATCTCCAGCAATTCCATCATTGAAGACTATTTCTCTCTTTTGAGGCAGACATGCCTTCTGCCAAATTTCCCATCCCTTTCCTTCGAACCCCCTTTAACATTTGTTTTTGGTGCCCTTCGTTTCCCAGCTTCTCTGTCCCACCTTTCCCCTCCCATCTCTCTCTCCCTCGCTTTCTTCCCCCTTTTCCTCCTGCATTAGATGGTGATTCTTCTTTCCAACTGATGATGCAAATGGTCCTGAAAAAGCAGAAAATTAGCACATCGAAAAGGCCATCCTGGTTGTAAATGAGGCTTCGGGATGACAGATTGCCAGCTGCTCCGAGGTGTCCTGATTGAACCTAACTGCCAAGTAATAATTGCCTCCTCTGGAAAAGAGGAATCCGGGGACTATTGTGCTGAATGCAGCTGATGAAGGCCTTCTAAGATGGAGAGGCCTGAAGTAGTTCACAGCATGGATTGTGTTTGAAGCTCCTCTGGCTTCAAGTGAGTGCCTGGCTTTAGTTCATTGTGATTAGAAAGCTGCTGATGTGACTTGAACTCTTATCAAGTGTTATGAGTTGTGCTATCCTCACTCTCCTAAATTAAGACCTAAGCATTCTCTTAGTTTTCAGGTCAAGATTTTCTTGATGGGTTGATTGATTGACTGCCTCAACCCCAAAGGATTCTAGATGACATTTGTTGCTGTTAGTTGTGAAGTCGTGTCCAACCTATCGCAACCCCATGGACAACGTTCCTCCAGGCCTTCCTGTCCTCTACCATCTTCTGGAGTCCATTTAAGCTCTTGCCTACTGCTTCAGTGACTCCATCCACCCACTGTCGTCCCCTTCTTCTATTGCCCTCAATCGTTCCCAGCATTAGGCTCTTCTCAAAGACGTATAAACATTAAAACATAATAATAGCATATTAACATCTAACTCAATCTCATTGGAGCCCCCCCCCCCCACCTCTGGCGATCCTATAAAAAGAAGCATGAGATCTATTTCCAGGACTAGGAAAGCACCAGGCCCAGGTGGAATAACTTCTTCTTGCTTGAATATTTGCGCTGATCAACCGGCCCTCATCTTCACCTGCATCTTTAATAAAGCACTAGAGATGCGTTATGTTCCTTCTTGCTTCAATAGAATAGAATAAGAATAGAATAGAATAGAGTAGAGTAGAGTAGAGTAGAATAGAATAGAATAGAATAGAATAGAATAGAATAGAATAGAATAGAATAGAATAGAATAGAATAGAATAGAATAGTTTATTGGCCAAGTGTGATTGGACACACAAGGAATTTGTCTTGGTGTAAATACTGTCAGTATACATAAAGAAAAGGTACATTCGTTAAGAATCAAGAATCATAACGTACAACACTTAATGATAGTCATAGGGTAGAATCAACAATCAAATCATACTA